TGTTTGCTATTTTGGCTCAGCAGTGAATAAACTAAGACAGATTTCAGTACCAGTAGTGGGGTTGTTGCTGTGACTTCATGACCATGTGGTTCAGGAGCCTTTGGAACTGGCTTGCAGAAAGAGTTTGGAAAAGTTTAGAGATGCTAACTGAAGAAGCAGCCCTGGAATGCCTTAAGCTATACTTGATGGGAGATTCTGGTCAGAGCTCAGAAGACTAGAGTGCCGATAGAAATGCTGCCAGTAAAGGCCAGGCTCAGGAATTGTCTCCAGGGAAGAAGGACTGCATTGGCTGTTGGACTTCAGACAGTGTGTGTTATGGCTTGGAAGAAAGTTTGTCTCTGTTTTGCTCCTGACCAGAGACTTTGCCTGAGACTGAGATTAAGAGTGGCAGACTAATTAATCTTGCAGAAGAAATGTAAAGATAGTCTAATGTTGAGGCAGGGACATGGCTACTGTTGAGGGCTTTTAGCCAGATCTGTGTTAAGAATCAAGAGCTGGGGCTGGGGATTTAGCTCAGCGGCAAAAGCGCTTGCCTGGCAAGCATAAGGTCATGAGTTCGGTTCCTGGTACCGGAGAAAAACAAAAACAAAACAAAACAAGAATCAAGAGCAAAGAATCCAGCAGAATGATTTTAAAATGTGAATTTGTCTAGAAAGGCAGCTCTAGTAAAGCTGTGGACTGCAAATGTAGAACAGAAGAGACTGGTTGCTGAGAAGGAACAAGGCAATAGAAAACATGGCTTGAGAACATCACAAGAAACAGCAAGTCTCCAGGCTTTGCAGCCTGAAGATTATAAAGGTGAAAGAATTTGATTTGAGTAGAAAGTCTCAGAGCACCATACTCTAGAATGGCTACAGCCTAGAGAATTTGTTCCTCAGGATTCATAGTGTTCACTGGTCCAGGCATTTGACCCCTACAGCCAAGAGAGAAGGAAGCCTGGTTACTGCTCCAGCTGGCAGCAAGCCTTTTCCTCATCCACATGGTGCTGGTTCTAGGTGCATGCAAGAGTTGTAGGGTCAGGAGGGCTTCCACCCAGATTTCAGCCAAAGACCTGGGAGGACAGACAGTGTGTTTCTGAGAGTATAGTTTGTGAAGCTGGAGTGTGAAGCTGAAGGTGCATTGGAGACCCCAGTAGTTTGGAGAAGCCAGGACCCAGAAGGTTGGAAGAGTTGGGAACATGGACAATCTGAGGAAGTCTGCAAGAAATGAGCAAAGCTGGCCCATGAGAAAAGTTATGGGATCTACAGCCATCTGCTGTGTCATGGGGGGGATGCACCTAAGCCATTTGGAGTTCATATCTTGCCACAGATGGCCTTGAATACTGGATATGAAACTATGAGGCTGAATGTTTACCCTGCTGGATTTTGGATTTGCTTTGGTCCTATTCCTTTCTATTCCCCTATTTGGAATAGGAGTGTTTATCTTTTGCCATTGTATATTGGAAATATTTAACTTTCTTTTCAGTTTTACAGGGGCTTGAATCTAAGAGTTTGCCTTACATCTCAGAGGAGCTTTGGACTTGGACTTTTCAGCAGTGCTGAAAAATGTTGAGTTTGGCGACTCTTAGAGATGGACTAAATGCCTTTTGCATAAAGAGATATGCATGAGTCTTTTAGGGACCAGCAGTGAAATATTATGGCTTGTGTGTTAGATGTTCCCCTAAGTCTCATGCTGTCATAGGTGAGGCTATTCAGAGGTGGGTGGATCTAAAATGTGTGATGCTGGGATTTAGGGATTGTGATTACTAAATTAGTCCATTGACTGGTTTGGCATAGTTCTGAGTGCATAATAGGAAGACCCACACTGGATGTTAGTGCTACCTACCCTAAGGCTGTGTAGCCTGGCTAGAGTGTAAGAGACAGAAAGAGAGTTGCTGTTGTTGCTTGCTGCTGCTTGCTACTTTGCTGCTATCTGCCAGCCTTGCTTTACCATGGACTGTTTCTCCTCTGTGATGCCCCTGTACCTTGCCACCCTGCTTTGGAGCCAGCCATTTATGCACCGAAAACTCTATAAACTAAGCTACAATACACCTTTCCTCCCTAACTTTAAATTTTGGGTATTTTGTCTCAGCAATGAGAAAAGTAACTAAGATAAGCACAAAAGGGAAGGAAGATGGAACAGGCACTGAATATATGGCAGGTGTGTCATGCATGTATTCTGGTTTGAAATTTCAGGAATCTTCTTGAGATGGGCCCAGGGGTCATTGTTATTTTTATTTCTGTCTCTGGTTAGTAGACCTTAGGACAAAGATCTGTCTGTGTGTGTGGGGGGGTGTTCCTGGGACATGGCCAGGTTCACATGAGTAGAGTAGGGAGTGGTCCCAGAGCCCCATTTGTACTAGCTGTATAATTGTGCTGCTGTTACTTGGTACATGCTTGGTGGGTAGTAGATGCTCAAATAGGCTCTCAAATGATTTCAGTATGTTAAATTGACTGCTATCAATAGCTACTAACTTTTTCTTTTTTTTTTGTGCTGGGAGTTGGCCTCAGGGCTTCACACATAAAAAGCTCAGGCTGTATAACTAAGGCACACCTCTACCTTCAGTAGAAATTGTATAATATTTTCCTTATCACTTGTTGAACAGAGTACTGAAATACAGTTTGAAGTGAAATATTTATACTTTTTAGACATTTCATATTGCATTTGTAAATCATTGATTCATATTTAAAGGAATATATGAAAACATAAGTAAGCTTAGTATATTTTTCAGCCTGTGTTGTCATTTTGACCATCATTTTTATGACAGTCTCATAATGTAACTAATGGATTCTATTGAGCAACTCATTAAACTTTCTGGATTCTTAGTGGAGTTACGAGATTGAGATAATGTGATTGTTCAAATTACCTAGCCCCTGGTATTAACAGAAAAATGAATCAGGCAAATCTTAACATTGCTTTGTAATGTCCACTGCTTAACTGCCGTTGTGAAGACAGTTCTTCCATCTAAGATGACAAACTATCACCATACCAGTAAAATAGGGTAATGGAGTACTGTGACTATGTCAGAAAAAGTTCTTTTCTTAACTATATTTGAAATACTCTAATCAATGTCTCTTTGGTTATGTGATTAACTTTGTCAGAACACACTAAATGCTGTAGAATATATTATATGAAGTCAGAATTGTATTATTAAATGTTTATTACTTATAGAAAATAGTTTTTTCTGTGTCTTTCCTATGATGAAATAATTTCAACAATCAGTAAAATATTCAATGTAAAATATGGGAGAAAAATCTACAGGTTTACATAGTCCTTTTAGAAATTACAGGTATGAAAAATTTAGGTTTGATACTTGACTAGAAAGTAAAATGACAAATAGAGTCTGTTATGTAAAGCCCCAAAGAATCTAGCTTTTTAAAAAGATCATTTTAATAATGAAATTTGTTGTATCTTGGTATATAATGGATATATTGATTTTAATTGAATGAAATTATGGGTTCCCCTTTATTAGTTAATGATTTATGCCCATAAGTTCAGAATACTTCATTTTTTGGCCCAATGATTCTTAATGTAAGTATGTATATGAAAGAATGAACAAATAACATGTACATGTGATTTGTATAACTAGATGACCTTATCCTTAGAATCTTATATTTTATATTGTTTGGTGATACAGAACAAGATTCTTTTTATTCTAGCCTGCCTAGAACATCTTAATAATTTATTTACCTGTCACCAATGAGAATTCTTCATGTTTTAAAGATTTAATCAGATAAATTTGATTTTAAAAAAATCCAAAAAATTGTATTAAGTTTATTGGCACATTTTAGATACGCATAATGATCACATTCATCATAGGGAATTTCTGCCTGTGCATGATAGAACTTGGTTCTTTTCTTTCCCATTCCCCTCCCGTCCCTTCAACCCCTCTTCCCCACCTTATTTACAAAGCTTTGTTTTTTCCTTCTTTTCTCATCATTTTTTCTTTTCCTTTCCTTCCTTCCCCTTCCCCCCTCTTTAGTTTCCCTTCCCATTGGAATATTTTCTTCCTATTTCACAATATCTGTTTTACATTTTGGTCCTTATTTACATTTTCAGTTCCTCATACGAGAGAAACAATGGGGTATTTACGCGTGTGTCCAGTTTATCTCACTTAAGAGTATGCTCTGGAGGTGCATCTATTTAGCTACAAATGACTTGAGTTTATCCTTGTGTATGGCAGAGGAGTACTCCATTGTATAAAAAAGCCCCACATCTTCTTTATCTGTTCATCAGTTGATGGACATTTGGACTGTTTCCAAGATTTAGCTATTATAAACTGTGCTTATAGACCCATATTTAGATCTTTGATTCATTTCAAGTTTAGTTTAGTGCATGGTGAAAGATACTGCTGTAGTTTTAATCTTCAGTATGTGGAAAAGCCAGTTTTCCAACACTATTTATTAAAGAGGGACAAATAGCAGCAGTAAATAAATATATGAAAAAATGTTGAACATCATTGGTCCTTTGAGAGATGTAAATGAAAATAATGCTGAGATGCCGTCTCACCCCAGAAAGAATGGCTGTTATTGAGAAATCAACCAATAACCAATGCTGGTGGGGCAGTAAAGAAAAAGGAGCCCTTCTCCGTTGTTGGTGAGAGTGTACACTGCTGCAGCCACTATGGAAATCAGTGTGAAGATTCCTCAAAAAACTAGGATTACACGTTCCATTCAAGCCAGCTATTTGTCTTGGTGTCTTCCGTAAAGAAGTAAAAGCATTATACCACAGCAGTAAACTTGATTTTTTAAGTTTAGTAATGTATAATTTTATATGACAAGTAAATAATGAAAATAAAACTAAACATTTCCCAATCAGTTTTGTTATCTTTAAATTACCGCTCTTTTGTTTTCAACGTGCTTTTTGATCACTGACAATGCTAAACATTATGTCAGTTTAATTGATAATTTTGAAATGAAGCCAGGTTTTCACAACAGCTGACAACTTACCTATGAACCTAATAGAAAACATTTAAATATGAAACTTCACGATTTAAAATGCTATGTAAATTATTCATTTAATTATTTTCTGTTTTAGAAAATGGAAGTGTCGTCCAAGTTGGAGAATTGTTGCCTTGCAAGATTTGTGGAAGAACATTCTTTCCAGTAGCGCTGGTGAGCACCCTGATTCTAAGCCTTTTCCTTGGAGTTTAATAGTAATTGTTCAGTACAGAACAGCTGTCATGGGAAGCACATATGGCGAATCACTTTTGAAGGGTAGTATTTTTGTTCAAGTCTTGGTCCCTTCTGTGTCATTTTTCCAATACTCTCTTTCAGAGTTTGACTGGTTTTCCAGACTCCTTTATTAAAGTGTTAAATTTTTCCTAGCATAGTGGGAACATGACCAAAATACCTTCACATCTCCATAATAATGTCTTTATTAGGACTTCCGAATGATATAATGTCCAGGTTTTAAAGTACTTCAGGGGAAAAGTGCAGGGATAGAGGAGGACTGCTGAAATGCTGGTAGCTGTTGGAGCAGGGCGATGAAGTGGCAGGTCCGTTTACATTGGCATCTATGTGTTTGAAATATTTCAAAGAAAAAGATGTTTTCTAATACAAAAGTGCTTCTAAAATATATTATTCTTTAGATACTTTCAGGTTTTAGTATATATAAACAGAAGCATATTTAAGTGATAAAATCAGGCAGCAAAATAGGAATAAAAATTATGCCTATGTACTGTCAACATTTTAACTTATGTGTAAAAGTACCATTATTACTACTTTGATGAGTAATATTTTTAAAATACAGATTTGCTGATGAGAGTTTTGGCACAGTCTACTGTGTACCGTCTCTACTGTTTCCAGTTTGTGTCTTTAAATGAGAGCAGTCCAGGTCGTACTGACTGCTTCAGAAGCATCTCTTCCCTTCTCTACACTCTGTGTTTTTTTTCAATTCAAAGGATTTTTAAAACGTTTATCTGAATTTTCACGATAAAAAGTATTTAATAGTATTTCATTAAATTGTATTATTATAAGTGCAGTTTTTATAATCAACTTTGGAAGTAAACACCACGTACACTTGACATATGTAATTAAATTCATGAGAACAGACATACATAGTTTACAAGAAAGTCACCTACTTGTTCATTTTTTATTACCTGCCTGAGAGACTTTATTATAGCTATGATGCTAGTTCTTGTTTCACAGCTGAATCTGAAAACAAGTATATATGACAGTGACTATAATTACATATTGAAAGCCTAAGAGTCTCCTTAACATCAAATGGGCCAGTGCTGAGGTCTCATTTCTTTGCTGATGAGGTTGAGTGTCCTGAGCTCATCAGCGCTTCTCAGAATAGCAGGGAAGACTGCGCTTAGCCCGCTGTCGTCAGTCAGCATGCTTTACTTGGTGAGGGAGTGCTGTCTCGTAGATTCATGTACTTAGAAGTTAGTTAGTGACACTTCCACTGCATTGCCCTTAAAAATGAATAAATGAATGATGGGCAGCTAGTAAAAAAAACCCTGTGGGAGTGGATCATTAGATACCTCAAGAAAAATCCTCTAAAAAAAGTAGAGAGTTTTGAATTTAAGAAGGGAAGGGATAATTTTGAAGAAAGAGCACAAGTCTGACAACTTTGTCCTATTACTTTATGTCAACCTTAGGTAACCTACCATTATGGTACCTTTAGTAATCCCAACAACTGCTATTATGTTTACTTTTATAATCCTGAAGCATTCCTCTCATTACTGCTTCTACTGCCTTTTATTGAGTTAATACTTCTTTCTTAGTCGAGTAGCTTAGGCTACATTATTTGTCTTACTCTTTGCAATGTGAAACTAGAATGGTTAAGTAACTATTAGTAGCAGTTTTGAATGATATTTCTATATAATTTCTCAGTTGAAAGGTAGCGTATATGTTTTAAAATTTAAGACACGTACACCTCATTTATTTTTTTTTATCTTTAGATTGTTAGACTGGGCTTAAATTTTTATTGTTTCAATTTATGTAGTTGAAAAGACTTCCCTTCTGTAAAAAAGAAAATAATATATTGTATTTCTTTACTTTAATAGAAAAAACATGGACCCATTTGTCAGAAAACTGCCACTAAAAAACGAAAGACTTTTGATTCAAGCAGACAAAGAGCAGAAGGAACTGATATTCCAACAGTAAAACCTCTTAAACCTAGGGTAACTATAATCTTTTTGACAGTGTGGATTTTGCTATTATATATACTGAAAAAAATTAAAATGATCTGTTATGTTAAGACTAAAGAAACAAAATTCCGTGTTACGTAATCTATTTAAAAGTGATTAGAAACTTAAAAACTGTCTTTTAATTTCAATTGTAAACAGCAAAGGAAAGACCAAAGTGCTATCACAAGCTTCATCAATTACAGTGAGGGTTTTGTACTTTAAAGAACCTGTTGCCTACTACAGACTGGAAATAATCAAAACAGGTATCTTTTTCAGTCATTGTTAACTGGTGCCTATATAGTTTAAGATTTGAGCTAATACTATCTTACCAGTCTGTAATCTCTATATATAGACAGTAAAGCTGTTACTTATAGACATCTTAACATAACAGATACAGATTGTCTTGACTGATCAATTGCCGGTATTTGTAATCTGTACTATGCTTCCTCGGGATAAGTTTTACCATTTGTTCAATTGTCACACATGGCTGTTGGCACATTATTTCCTTTTTGGGAACCAAAGCCTGTGGTAATCTCTACCAACTATCTCATACACCTCATACAGGATGTCGCTAAGAGTCAGTCGTTTCAGTAGTTTGTCAGATAGTTTTGTGAGATCATTTCAGTAAAGTGGGCAAAGCTTAAGTGCCTGATCAAATAGTTTCTGAGACAGTCTGCTTACTGTGCTAATCACCTCTTCCAGTAAGTCGCCCAGCAGAGCATTTTCCTTCTCTAGCAGAAACTAATTTGCCTAATAAAATGATGCGATAATAGGAAAATCAGATATTCATCTTCGTCTACGAGTATTTATGGATAATACATACCTTGCATACGGTACGTAACCTGATATTTGGAGTTTCTCTTAGTAGCCGGCCAGACATGTGAGTGTATGAACTTTGACTGACACACTAGCTAAATCTTGGGAGGCAGAATAACTTCGTGGATGTGAAAAAGGCTAAAGAGTTGAAATGCCTGGATTTAGTCCTGGCTCTGCAACATGGGCTGTTACTTTGGGCAAGATACTTAATGTGTACTTCGATTCATTTGTACGGTGGTGATAGATACGGCGTGCACCAGGTGGGGTTACGGTCAGGGTTACATGACATCCGTGACAGTCTTAAATCTTATCATTTATTTTTTAAGGGGAAGGGAATTATACTTCATAATCTGCAGAACAAAGGAAAGAAAACAGTAATATTTTACAGTAAAAAGCAATACTTTATATTAAATAGTTTATTGCTTGGCTTTTTAAAGTGGCATCCATAAGCAGTAATATCAGCCCCGTATGCAAACTTGTTGAAAATGCAGAATCTGAAGTTGCAAAATACACTGAGTTAGAATCTGATGTGAAATCTTCGGGTGAGTCACGTGCACATTAAAGTTCGAGAAACAATGTTTTGGAAGATTTGGACATTGTAATGTAATTATCAGTGTATTTACTGTATCAAGCAAATCCTACAAAGTCACAATCAGAGTAGGGGTACAACAACTATCCAAACCCCATTTTTGGAAAAACTAAAGGTCGCCGTATTCCACAGCCTACCAAATATATGTAAGGGCTGCGCAAAGCAATTGAGACCCAGGCCAAGCTGCCCAGAAGGGAAAATACAGCATGTTTCTGAGGAGTCCTGTGGCCGTAGTCTGGGAGTCTGCCGCGTTAAAGCTGAGAGGTCTTTTGACTCAGGGTGACTCCTTTAAGGGGGGAAGGCTTGTCAGAGTGAATATATCTTTTGTTAACTGTGGCCAAGGCAGGAGCTGAAACAGTGTACAAACGTGGAGAGCCAGAATCGAATGAGCTGGGCTGAACTTGGAAAGAAGCCAGGAGAGGGAAGCGGGGAAGGAGAAACGGAGTAGAGCGGCCCAGGGGCCAGAGCTCTCAGAAGCCTTTCTGAGAGTGAGAGGCTTGCTTAAAGGTCCGTGTCCATCTTGTTCTGTTTTGCTGCGTTTTGTAACGGTCACGGAGACTGAGGCAAGGCTGGCAGCAGTGGCCTCCAGGGCTTGTGTTGCTTTAGAGGAGTCGGAGGCAGTGCGTGTGATTAGGCAGAGAAGCCTTGTTTGCAGAAAGGGGCTGTGTTTGCGTGGAACCTGGAAGACGACCCTGGAGCTCTTTCCTTCAAAATCTGTTTTAAGTAGCTGTACCAGGAAAACCTAACTCATTCGGTGATGGGCAGCAGGAAAACTGTTAGCTCACACTGATAGAAAGATCCTACGAGGAAAGAAATGGAAGAGCAGCAGGACTTCACGGCGGGTGAGTAGTGTGCTTTATGGGGCAGATGAGTGTTGTTTCATGTAAGAGTTTTGCATCTAGATTCATGAGCGAAGTGGGTTTATAATTTTTCTTTTTATCAATTTTCTAATAAAACTAGTTGGAAAGTTGTTCCCTTTTTCTGTTTACTCCTTGAGTTTATATGAAGTTGATCCTATTTCATCCTTGCATATCTATAACAATTCAGTATTAAAGTTATTTGAACCAGAAAGTATCTTTGTAGGAAGGTTGTTAATACTACTACTAATACTAATACTAATACTAATAATAAATTCTGTGTGTGTGTGCGTGTGTATGTGTGAGTGCATGCCTAGGCAAGCAGTCCACCACTCAGTGTGTCCATGGTCCATTCAGCGTTCTATTTTGAGACAAGGTCCTCCTGAGTTGCCCAGGCTGGCCTACAATTTCCAATCTTCCTGTCTTAGCTTCC